GCCCGGGGGCGGCCCGGGGCGCTGCCTGTAATCTCCACGGGGGGTGCAGGGCGCCCCCGGGAGCGTCCGAAGCGTCCCGGAGGGCCCCTGGGACCGCCAGGAACAGTTCGAGACCGCCCAAGACGGCCCGCGAGCGCTCCAAGACGCGCATAGATAGCCTCAGGAATGGCCAGGAAGGCCCGAAGACGTTCCAAGAGAGCTCCATGAGGCCCCGAAGGCATCCCAAGAGGCCTCCCAAGAGAGCGCCGACAAGCCAAAATCGTTGATTTTTATTGTTTTTGTTTCTAGGTTTTTGGCCTTTTCGCTTTTTCGGGGTTCCGACGCTCCAAGACCGTCCAACAGTCTCCCAAAACCGCTCCAAGACAGCCGAAGAGGCCCCCAAGACCGCCCCAAGACGGCCCAAGAGACCCCCAAAAGCATCCGAAGACGGCCCAGGAGAGCCCCAAGATGGCTCAGGAGCCGCCCAAGACGGTTCCAGGAGAGCCCCGACAGGGCTTCAAGACTGCCTAAGCGGGCCCCAAGAGGGCCCCGCGAGGCCCCAAGAGGCCCCAAAGAGGCCCCCAAGAGCCTCCCCGGAGGCCCCCAGAGGCCCCCAAGATGCCCAAAAATTGCCCTGAGCGCGCCCCAAGACGCCTCCAGGAGAGCCCAACAGGCCTCCGAGAGGCCCACTGGAGGCCCTCAGGAGGTCGTCCCCATCATGTTCCCGGAAGGCGGTCCGGGAACATGATTCCGCGCCTTGGAGGCGTATTCTGCGCCTGCCGAGGCGCCTTGGACGACGTACGTATGTTTCTATAGATTGTCCTTCTCCTGTGTACACAATCCTCCATGGTTTACGTATGTTTATATTTATATATAGACATATATATATATACATATACATACATACATACATACATACATACATACATACATACATACATACATACATACATGCATACATACATATATGCATGCATGTGTATGTATATATATATATATATATATATATATATATGGGGAGGGGGTCCTGGACCAGGGGGGGGCCTCACTTCGCCCAGTGGCTGTGGTCACCCCCCCGCCGGAGACGCCAGGACGCTCCCAGGACCCTCTAAAATGGCTCCAGGACGCCCTCAGGACAGCCCGAGAGAGGTCCGAAGCGGCCCGGGAGCACTCCAAGACGGTTAAAAAGCTGCCAAAGCGTCCCAGCAGGTCTCCGACAGCACTCCCGGGAGGGGCCCAATAGGAAATTGTCACTGATGTTTAATGAGTTTTGAAGGGTTTTGGCGTTCTCCCCAGTTCGGCTTCCAGACGCTCCAAGGCGGCCCAAGAGGCCCGAAAGATCGCCTCAAGACGAGCCCAGAGGCCCCCAAGAGACCACCGAGACAGCCCAAGAGGGCCCCAAGACGGCCCAGGAAGCTTCCAAGACGGCCCAAAAGAGCTCCCAGAACACTCCAAGAGGAGCCCCAGATGGGGAACACGAACTGACATTTCGAGCCCTCGCCCACCAGAAGCTCCCAAGAGGCCCCCAGGAGTCCGCAAGAGGCCTCGAGAGGCCCCCAGGAAGCTCCAAGAGGCCTCCAAAAGGCGCCGAAAGGGCCCCGCAAGGCTTCCAGACGCTGGTGATAATGACAATGATGATTATGCAGGGCGGCCTCAGGCCCACAACCTAAATCCCCAATACTGCTCACGCGGCATGCAAGACGCTGCGGAGATATCCTCGAGTTCGGCGGGGGAGCTTCGGAGACGACGGTGACGAAAATGATGACGATGATGACGACTATTATGAAGTTGACGACGATGATGATGATGATGATGATGATGATGCTGATGATGATGATGATGACGAAGAAGAATTTTATGATGATGATGTTGACAGTGGGAATGATGATGATGATGATGCTGCTGATGATGATGAAGTTGATGATGGTGATCGTGATGTGAGTGATGGTGGTGATGATGATGGTGGTGATGCTGACGATCATGATGACGATGACGGTGATGCCGTTGAGGATGGTGATGCTGACGATCATTATGATGCTGCTGATGGTCAGGATGATAACGCCGATGATGATAATAATGGTGGCGATGCTGTTTATGGTGCTTGTGATGCAGGAGTGGGCGGATGATGAAGATGATGACGATGATTATGACGATAACGATGACGACGATCACGACGACGACGATAATGATGACGATGGCGATGATGAGGATGATTATGTTGATAATTCAGGTGACGATATTGACGATGATGACGACGATGGCGATGATGACGATGGTGATGACGATGTTGCTGCTGATGGTGGTGATGGTGACGATTGTGATGATGGTGATGGTCATGGTGATGATGACGATGCCGCTGACGATGACGCCGGATATGATGGTGATGAGGATGGCGATGATGACGATGACGATTATCCTAGCTAGAACTTGAGCGCGCGCGAAGCGCGCGCGATGGTTCTAGTGTGTGTATATATATATATGGTTCTAGTGTGTATATATATATATGTGTGCGTGTGCGTGTGTTCTCTCTCTCTCTCTCCCCCTTCCTCTCTCTCCCAGTATTCTTGACGCTTCGCATATCCGCACCAGCTCTTGACGGCGCGCGGTTGGACCGCGACGCTCGGGAATAAAAAAGCATCCCCACCAGCCCATCTAGAAACGATGCCCATGAGAGCTGACGGGGGGAGAGAGGAAGACACGCATAGTCAATCAGCGAGGGCGGCTGGCCTGGACGGCGTGTTGGGGCCATCTGGATGTTGGCCTCTTGGCGGCCTCCTGGGGAGGCTCCGTGGCCATCTTGAGCCGTCTTAGAGCGGTCTTGGGGCCTCTGGGGGCATTTTGGGAGCCATCTTGAGCCAGCTTGGACTATCTTGAGCCATCTTTGAGGTCATCCTGGGCACTCTGAGGCCGCTCGGGGGCCACTCGGGGGCCTCTTGGGGGCCTCTCGGGGGCCTCGTGGGGCCCTCTTGGGGCCTCCTGGGGCGCTCATGGGACCCTCTTGGAGGCCTCTTGGAGCCCTCTTGGGGCCTCCTGGGGCGCTCATGGGACCCTCTTGGAGGCCTCTTGGGAGCCCTGGAGGGCCTCCTGGGGCCATCTCGGAGGCGGTCGGTCAAAAGAGGGGGGGTCCTCGATGTGTGCCCCCCCCCCCCCCCCCTGGGGGGCCATGATCCTCGTGAGGGGTGTCAAAAATTGGCCCTCCCACTGGCCGAAAAAGGAGCCTCCGACACCTCGCGACCCCTCGGAAAAAAAAAACTCAGGGAGCGGAGGGGGAGGGTTCCCCTCCCTGGAGAACAGGCTTGACCGCAACACAGGTTTCGCTGGCAATGCGCAAGAGACGCTCTCAGGATGACCTCAAGACCACGCCGAGGCGCAGTCAAATTGTGGGGTTCGCATCCCGCCCGGGATTTCTGGGGACCTTATTTAATCGTTTCGCTCATTCCGCCGGCCCATATTGTCGCACCGTTGTGGGCTAGCCGAGTTTTGGGGCCTCTTGGGGGCCGTTTTTGGGCCTCTTGGGGCCTCTTTTGGGCCTCTTGGGCGCCTCTTGGGGCGTCTTGGGGGCCTCTTGGGGCGTCTTGGGGGCCTCTTGGGGGCCTCTTGGGGCCTTTTTGGGGCCTCCTGGGCGCCTTGATTTCTGGGGGCCTTATTTTGGGTTGGGATGTATGACTGAGTGGACCGAGCCGACGATTGGAATACAGCAGGGGAGCGGGGTCCCGCCCTCCGTCTGAGCCCTCGCCCCGATCGGGACCGCTGCCGCCGGGATCTCGTGCGCGCGGGCGCGCGGTGTGCACCTGGGCGAAGTGGCAGAAAGTCGATGCATGCTCGGCACGGCGATGTACGTGCACAGGTGTGTATGCGCTTGTCTGTTCATCACGTGCACGTATGTGCACTTACATCGGAGGTTGGGGGGTGAGGTCGAAGTGGAACGGAGAGCCCCCCTGCCGGGAAGTCGAGTTCGGTTTCGTGTTCGTGCGTGCCGTGCGGGCGAGGCGAAGCTGCGTGGGCGGGCAAGAGAAAGTCTCCTGTGGCTGAGGCGCGGCCGGAGCAAAAGAACCTTGACCGGGCGGCCGGTGCCCCGCGGTGTCCCGCCGGTGTCCCGCTGGTGTCCCGTGTGATGATGATGGTAATGATGATGATGATGATGATGATGATGATGATGATGATGATGATGATGATGATGATGATGATGATGATGATGATGATGTTGATGATGGCGATGATGATGATGATGATGATGTTGGTGTCGTTGATGATGATGATGATGATGATGCTGATGATGATGATGATGATGATGATGTCGATTGTGAGATCGATTGTGATATCGATAGTGAGACCGAATGTGAGATCGATTGTGCGATGCTGATGGTGATGATGGTCATGATGGTGATGATGATTGTGATGATGATGACGACGTTGATGATGATGATGATGATGATGCTGATGATGATGATGATGATGACGACGATGATGATGACGATGATGATGATGATGTTAATGGTGATGTCGATGATGATGAGCGGCAACGCAACTATCTCCACTGACATTATCACAACAGCATTCACCACTGTTGCCCATTGCTGGCCCCCCCCCCAACCTCCTTATCACCCGCAGGGTGGTCGTATAGGTATATACACATGTACATGCAGTTATATATACATGTACATGTGTGTGTGTGTGCGCGTGCGTGTGTGTGTGTGTGTGTTCGAGTGTTAGCGCCATTATCCTCCTCATCCCCACCCTCCTGATCCTCATCTTCGCTCAAATTTCCTCGACGTTCTCTTCCTCTTCACCTCTTCTCGTAAACCAGGCCATCGTATTAGATAGACTACATGCTGTTTTCTGTCAGGAGCACAACCCAAACATAGTATACATAGGTTGTTCGGTTTTTAGGAGGCTAGTGAACTTCCTCATCGTTCTCTCCCGCTTCACTGTGTGAATGTTGAGGGCAACGAACAGCTCTTCACATGCTTTTGGCCTTAAGTTTGCTATGGCAGGAAAACCACCAAACTCTGCTATTCATGTTGGAGGGCCTTGGCCCAGTGGACTTTCAGAGCCATTCGCGCCCTGGGCTGCTCGACAATCATCACCGATCATCCTTAACAAATTCCGTAGCCATCTTGGTACAAGTTTGGGATCTGCCGACGATCTCGTCTCTCGTTCCCTGGCATGGTCGGTTGGCTACTACCGTAGCTTTTGTGATTGCAGATAAGATGTTGCATCGGTCCAGCCAGCGGGAGCTCTGGAAGATGTTGAGTCTCGCCGCAATGGTGATCGGAAGTCGGCAGCTGTACACGGGCGCAAAGTCTGTCTGGGCCCATCTTAGGCCCTACTGCTAAGCCCTGCTCCTCCCCCTCCTCCTCCTCCTTCTCCTGCTCCCCTTCCTCCACCTCCTCCTCCTCCTTTCCTCCTCCTCCTCCTTCCCCTCCTCCTCCCCCTCCTCTTCCTCCTGCTCCTCCTCCTCCTCCTCCTCCTCCTAAACCTTCCTCCAGGCCGGGAAGGTCTGCACACCAGTCCAGGGCACAGGATGGGTTTGGCCAAGGCTGGCAGTGGTGTACAGCTGCAGGTAATTGGTGGGCGCCGCACGTTTTCACACCGGCTGTTTTCGCACGGTTTCGGGCCCCAGGGCCCTCACGGATCGACCTGGCTCGAGAAAGATCTTAGGCACATGGGGTCGAGGGCTCCGGTCGCGCTTTTGCTCGCAATGTTGCGAACGTTTCGAGACGTTACATCCTGGGGTCCCAAGGTGACAGTCGGAGCTGGGGTGTTCTTCTCCCTGCACTTCGCGCTGGTAGCTGCCGAGGATCGCCACAAGGCCGCCGACGAGGCCGCTGGTTCCAGCCTCAGGCTAAACCTGAAGCGTGCCCTCCAGACTCGCCACCAGAAGGCCACCGCTGACGCTTCTGGGTCCAAGCATTCTGGGGGAGAATATCGTCCAAATCCATGCTGTCGCAGGATTGTCCCTTTGCAGACCCAGACTCCGAGGGCATGGAGGATGAGGAAGAGGAGGAGGAGGAGGCGAAGGAGGAGGCTGAGAAGGAGCACTAGGAGGGGAAGCGCCATGATGATTGCGATGACGATGACGATGACGATGACGATGATGATGATGATGATGAGGAGGAGGAGGAGGAGGAGGAGGATGAGGATGAGGATGATGGTGATGGTGATGGTGATGGTGATGGTGATGGTGACGGTGATGATGACGACGACGATGACGATGACGATGACGATGATAGTGAGGATGGTGGAGGTGGTGGTGATGATGGGCGATGGTGATGGTGATGATGATGATGATGGTGATGATGATGATAATGGGGTAGTGACGATGGTGATGATGAGGATGAGGGTGAGGATGATGAGACTGATGCAGATGCTGGTGAGGGTGATGGTTATGGTGATGTTAATGCTGATGCTGATGTTGCTACTGATTATGATGGTGGTGGTGATGATGATGGTGGTGGCGATGATGATGGTGATGATGATGATGGTGATGGTTACGAGGATGACGACGTTGATGATGATGATGACGATGATGATGATGATGATGATGATGATGATGATGATGATGATGATGATGATGATGATGACGATGGTCATGATCGTGATGGTGGCGGTCGTGGTGGTCGTGGTGATGATGGTGATGGTGATGCCGATGATGATGCTGCAGATGCTGCTGATGTTGATGCTGATGATGAGGTTGACGATGATGCTGATGCTGATGGTGATTGGTGATTGGTGATGATGATGCTGCTGTTGATGATGATAATGATGATGGTCATGGTCATGGTGATGGTCATTGTCATGGTCATGGTCATGGTCATGGTGATGATGGTGATGACGGTGATGACGGTGATGATTGTGACGATGGTGATGATTGTGACGATGGTGATGATGGTGTTGGTGATGATGATGATGATGATGATGATGATGATGATGATGGTGATGGTGATAATGGTGATGGTGGTGACGGTGTTCATGGTGTTAATGGTGTTCAAGGTGTTCATGGTGATGTTGTTCATGGTGATGGTGCTCATGATGATGATGATGATGATGATGAAGACGATGATGATGATGATGATGATGATGATGATGATGATGATGGTGATGGTGATGATGATGATGATGATGCTGCTGCTGATGATGATGGTGGTGGTGATGATGATGATTGCGATGATGATGATGATGATGATGATGATGATGATGATGATGTTGATGATGATGATGATGATGATGATGATGATGAGAAGGAGGAGGAGGATGAGTACGAGGAGGACTAGGAGGACGAGGATGAAGATGAGGACTCTGAGCATGAAGATGATTAGTATGATGAGGATCAGGTCAGGGAAGAGCAGTCGCAGGATGAGGAGCAGCATCAGCAGGAGGATGAGGAGTTGAGGATCATCTTGGAGGAGGAAGAAGAGGTGGATTGGATAAGCAGGGCTGGATATTTGGGAAGCGTCCGTGATCCCCCTCCCCTGCATAAAGGTGACACATCCAGCAGGAAGAAGGAGGGACGAGATAGGGGGAGGAAGGGAAGGAGGGAGGGGAACGAGAGGGGCATGGAGGTAGAGGGAGAGGACTAGGTGATGTAGCGGAGGAAGGTAGGAGGGGGAGGGAGGAGGGGAGGGGAGAGGAGGGGAGGGAAAGGGAAGGGAGGAGGGAAGGGAAGGGAGGAGGGAAGTGAGTGGGAGCCTCACGCGCTATACTGGCTGGCTGTACCCCTCTCCTCCCCCCCTGGCCCCACCTCTCCCCCCCGCCCGCCCTCGCCCCTCGCTCTCCTCCCCTCCCCCAGTGAGCGCGAGGATGCGCGCGCTGGGGGAGAGGGGGGCCAAGATACCCCCACGTCGTGCTTTTCACGGCGCGGCTCCCAAGACGTCTGGGCCTCTTTTCCCCGGAGCATGCTTCTCGTCCCGATCGAGCCGCTTCTTTAGGGGGCCACGTGCGAACCCTGCCCCTACCCCCCACGATTTCTGAGAGGGAGGGTGGGGTTCCCTTCGTTCGGGAGCCGAAGGGAGCCCCACCCTCCCCCTCAGAAATCGTGGGTGGTAGGGGCGAGAAATGGATGAGGAGGAGGAGGAGGAGGAGGAGAGGAGGAGGGGTAGGGTTCGCATGTGGCCCCCTGTTCTTGACGGCCCCTTTGGGCCCGGCAAAGGGCACCCCGTGGGCCGAACTTGGTCAGAAGCCTCCTCCTCGCGATTTTTTCTCCCCCTCCTCCTCCTCCTCCTCCTCCTCCCCCTCCTCCTCCTCCTCCTCCTCCTCCTCCTCCTCCTCCTCCTCCTCCTCCTCCTCCTCCTCCTCCTCCTCCTCCTCCTCCTCCCCCCTCCCTCCTCCCCTCCTCCTCCTCTCCTCCTCCTCCTCCTCCTCCTCCTCCTCCTCCTCCTCCTCCTCCTCCTCCTCCTCCTCCTCCTCCACGGCGCGAGCCAAACTTTGGATGCAACTCCTGGGAGGTTAATTCGGCATCGGCGCAGGCAGATCCGTGGCCGAAAGCAGGCCTGATTCCAGCACCATCCCGGCTCATCCCGTGGAGTGCCGCCTGCTCAGGCCTCAACCCGGGCTCGATGCGGCCCGATACTCCGGCCACAGAGCCTCCCTGGCCGCTCCGACGAAGACCTCCCAGGAGTCGCACCCCAAGACGAGAAGCTGAGAATCCCCCGCCCCGCGTTCCACTACTCGCAAAGTGCCTGCTCGCAACCGCCCGACAAACACATGCCTGCCTCGACGTCATTGATCGTAGATCCCCCGCGGGGGCTCCAGGCCGTTTGCGAGTAGTCGCTCTGCGAGCAGTGGAGCGCGCTCGTCCAGAGAAGACAGCGTGCGCATGGACGCGGCGTGCCTCTCGCCTACGACGAGCCGCGGGCGCAGCCCGAGCCCGAGGGCAGCGCCGCCGGCCAGGGGCTCCGCGCTGCCGCGGCCGCCGCGGCCCCCGCGCCGGCGCCGAGCTCGCCGTCCCTCAGCGGAGCAGCGCCTCGGCCGCCAGGTCCGGCCAGGGCGCCGAAGCTGCAGCTGCCGCCTCGGGCTCAGTGAGGAATCTCGGGGCTCTCGGGCCGCTCCGGCCGGGCGAAAGGGGGGATGGCAAAAGGGGGGGGGGGGGGGGAGAATCAGCTCGCATAGCTGATTCTCCCGGCGCCTCCCGGCGCCAGGAGGCGCCCATGCATCGCGAGGAAGGGTCCCGGCGGCGGGGCCGAAACCGGCTGCAGGCAGCAGATTTCGCAGCCCCCCCTTTCCCTATCCTGAAGTCGGGCCTGTCCCTCTACAGGGGGAATATTCAAAAATAGTGGAAAAAATAGTCTGGGGACTATTTCTTGAGTATTTTGGGGCATCTTTTGGAGCATTTGTATCTTTTGAGCATTTTTTGAGTATTTGGGGGCATCTCTTAAGCTTAAAAAGATAGTCTGGAGAGTATTTTGTTAAGTATTTGTTTTTGATATTTGTGATTTGTTGCGTATTTTTAAAAACAAATCGTCGAACATCCCCCTTGTAGGGGGACGCGCCCGAGCTTTTCCTATCCCCCCCCCCTTTCGTTTGCCCTTACGGTGGCACCGTAGGGGTATAAACTTTCCAGCCGCCCAGGGGCAGGCGCCCCCGACAGCGAAAAAGTTTATTTTATACCGTTCTTCGCCCGTTAATTGTAATACATGTTCCGCGTGCGGATCATGTATTAAACATCCAGGGATTTCGTATCAAAAACAACGATGAGTTCATGCATAACTTCATTCATGAATCAATCATTCTTAAAAATCAAATAGTTTCAAACATCCGATGTCTTAAAAACTGCCCTGTAAGTCGGGCGTGTCCCTCTACAGGGGGAATGTTCAGAAATAGTAAAAAATATAGCCGGGGAACTATGATTTGACTATTTTTCCTCAGCTGGAGGGCATTTTGTTTTGGTGTCCTAGTTTGATGTCTCGCCCCAGATCGCCCTGCAGGGGGACAGGACTTGCGCAGGAGGGCATTTTTTGTTTTGTTGTCCTAGTTTGATGTTTCGCCCCAAATCCCCCTGCAGGGGGACAGGACTTGCGCAGAACTCCCCCCCCTCCCCCCAGACTTATGATGCTCCAATCTACTTCAGCTTTGATCGCCAGGACGAATCTCGAGCGCCCCAAACAGTACCGAAAAACTCGAGGGCTGTCGCGTGCCGGGCCCGCCGCGGCCAGGAGAGCCCCCCTGTGCGCCTCCCCGTGCGACCCCGGCGGCGCACGTGCCGGAGGGCAGTTGGGCAGCACTCGCGCTTGAGTCGGGCGTGTCCCTCCACAGGGGGGATAGTCACAAACAGTAGAAAATTAGTCGGGGAGCTAGGTTTTGACCACTTCTCCTCATTGGGAGGGCTTTTTTTATTACTATGTTGATTGTTCGCCCCCAGATCCCCCTGTAGGGGGGACAGGCCCGACCTGAACTTACGCAGAACATGTGGTGTGAACTCCCCCCCCGTCCCCCCAGATGCAATGTTGGGCTCGGAGCTCCTGAGTTTGAGTGGCGGGCCAGTGGTGCGTGCACGTGCCAGCTCGGAACTGCGGGGGGGAGGGGGGGAGGTGCTGCCCGGCTTCTTCCCCTAAACCGCTAGCACGATGGCCGTTGCGCCTCCGCCGAGCGTCGAGGAGCAGCAAGCTTGTTGTTCGGTCGCGGCCGCGAGGCGACGGTCCGGCGGCGAGAGCCAAGTCCGGGACGCGAATTGGGCGAATTGGCCGAGAGCAGCAAGCTGCGCAACCGTGAGCTTTTGGAGGGGCGCGCGGGTTTTCTTTGGGGGGAGCGTAAGACCCGGGTTTGCCGGGACTCGGGTTCGCCATCGTTTTTTGACGACCGCGCCTCGGATTTTGACGAGGAGGAGTTTCGTGGGATGTCTGCAGCGGGAGGCCTCGTCAAAATGCAGGCTCGGCCTCGTCATTTTTTTGACGACCTCGTCGGGGATTTCCGAGTCCCCCGTACCCGGGTCTTACGTCTCCCTTGGGGGGGCGGCGCTGGGGCCCCTCCTGGCGGGCGCCCCCGGCGCGCGGTCCAGGTGCCGACCCGAGAAATCCGTGCGGACCTCCGAGAGTTCATGTTCGCGCAGCTTGTTCCTCTGTGGGCAAGACCGGAGCCGACCCCCTGGGGGACGGTGCCAGCTGTCCTCGGGGGCGGCAAGGAGGGGGGCGATGACGAGGGGGGGGGCGGACATCGTGGCGGGGGCCCTGATATCTCTCTCCCCAGCTCTTTCAGATGGCGCCTCCTCTTGTCTCGTGACGTTTGCTGGTCCCCCCCCGCGGGGCCGCGCACGTGCCGCCGGTCACGATTTGCAGCCCCCCCCCCTCTCGGTCGCCCCCCGCTCCCGATGTCCGCCTCGCACCCCTCTGGTCGGCGAGGGGCGGGAGGAGGAGGAGGAGGAGGAGGAGGAGGAGGAGGAGGAGGAGGAGAAGGAGGAGAGGAGGAGGAGGAGGAGGAGGAGGGCTGGCGCCGCCCCCCGCGGCGGCCGAGGGCTGCCTCCGCTGGGGCCGTCCCCCGCCCCCGGGCGGAGCGCGGCCGCGGCGGGCGAGACTCCGGGGCGACCACGGCGGCGATAGGCGGCGGGGGAGGTGCGGCCTGCCCCCCCGCCTCCTCTCCTCCTCCTCCTCCTCCTCCTCCTCCTCCTCCTCCTCCTCCTCCTCCTCCTCCTCCTCCTCCTCCTCCTCCTCCTCCTCCTCCTCCTCCTCCTCCTCCTCCCCCCTCCCCCTCCTCCTCCTCCTCCTCCCCCTCCTCCTCCTCCTCTCCTCCTCCTCCTCCTCCTCCTCCTCCTCCTCCTCCTCCCATCCTCCTCCTCCTCCTCCTCCTCCTCCTCCTCCTCCTCCTCCTCCTCCTCCTCCTCCTCCTCCTCCTCCTCCTCTGGGGGAGGAAGGGGGGGCGGAGGGAGGAGGAGCAGGAAAGGGGAGGCGGGGGAGGATGGGGAGGAGGAGGCGCACGAGGGAGGACTTGAAGTACAATTGGCTCAGGGGCGCCTCAACCCCGTTGGTGGGCCCAGCTGCCTGGAGTTACCACCACCCTTTTAGGGCGGATACCGCCACTTGCAGTGCAGAATCGCTGCACACAATCCATTGCATTGAAGGTGGGCAGGATTTGTCCATCCCTCTTCCGCCCTGTGCAACGAGAACTCTTGTCCTGTTCCACCCCGCTGGGTGGCTCGCCACCCCGCAGGTGCTGGGAGTGCCCTGCGCCACAGACGGACGGATCGTCACCGTTGGGCGACCCTGGAGACCTTCTCCGCTGCAGGACGTCTCCCCGCCCACTGTGGACACGGTGGGGCTTGTACACCTTAGGCGATGCTTAAGAAAGCTTAAGTTTTCGGCCAGAGTCTCGATTATTCTTAATGTTTCCATGCAAATCCTAAGATGTTCATAGAAATTCTGGGTGTTTTTTTAGTCAAGTTCTGAGACTGTGAATTTCTTAACCCATGATGTCTTAAGCATTTCGCAGGGTGTAGCGCATGTAAGCCGGAATCTGGGGAGTGTCGCACACATCCCTCTGCCACCGTCCCACGCAATGGGGGAGGTAAAATCGAGAGGCGGGCGGCTGGGCGAGCAGGTGAGAGGGTGGGCGGGGGAGCAACAGGGCGAGCATGGGCGCAGGGCCTCGGAGGAACTGAGAACGGAAGCAAGCCAAGGAGGGGGTAAACATGACGCCCAAGGAGAGCGGGACGGCACGTCACGCGAAGAGTGGCAGGGAGGTCAGCTCTGCGGCAGAGTGGATTGTTACCGAAGGGGTGACAAGGCGGTCCTGCTCCATTGCAAGGCGGATCTCCGCCCAATGATAGCAGGGGGATCGGTGGCGGCAGAAAGCCGCACACGGGAGGCTCTGCAACCATGCCCCCTCCACTGGAGGGCAATAGGACGAACCCTGATTTTACTTACGAGCCTGTGGCAGGCAGGCAAGACATGCAGGACCGCCGGCATTGTCGCTGGGCGATATCCTGGAGGTCAAGACCTCCTGAGGGGTGCGGCCAAACGGACTATGGGCAGTTTGGCGGGGTGCCGCGTCACAGCAGATGTGAGCGGCAATCACAGCAGCAGCATCAGCGCCAGGTCTGACCATGGGGGGACCTATCGTGATGACTCGCTGTGGCCCGTGATGGGCATCAAGGTGTATCAGGCAAAGCCCGGGAGGCAGGCAATCACAGGCGCAGCAGCTGAAAAGGACAATGGGGGAAACGACGGGGCCTCGTCCCCACGGCTGACCACAGCAGATGCAAGGGTTGGCCCCTCGGATCGCCTTCTTGTCGCCGCGGCTGGAACCGACTTGCCAGCGGGGATTCGGGTGACAGGGGCCTGCGCTAGCCCAGCCCGTCTATGGGGGAGGGAGGGGGGTGCCTGATGGGCTGGAGGTGCGGATGCTCGGTAGGAGGATGCTTGTCAGAAGTCGATTGGCAGGAAGAGGAGGAATAAGAGGAAGAGGAGGAAGAGGAGGAGGAGGAGGAGGAGGAAGAGGAGGGTGAGGGCGAGGTGGTGGTGGTGGTGGTGGTCGTGGTGGTGGTGGTGGTGGTGGTGGTTGTGGTGGTGGTGGCTGGTGGTGGTGGTGGTGGTGGTGACGGTGGTGGTGATGGTGGTGGTCGTGATTGTGGTGGCGGTGGAGGAGGAGGAGGACGAGGAGGAGGAGGAGGAGGGGAAGTGGGAGGACGTGGTGGTGGTGGTGGAGGAGGACGAGGAGGAGGGGGAGGTGGCGGAGGAGACGGAGAAAGAAGATGATGAGGACCAGAGTAAGCCCACTATGCATCAACGATGACGCTGCAATGCACCCTCCCATCTCAAGTCAAGCCTTGGGTCCACTTCAAGAAACGTGCCTTAAAGACAAAACACCACCCTATGGGCCTGCCGTTTAGGCGTGAGTTTTGTTTTGAAGAGGAGCTGCCTTGCACATGTCTGGCGAGTCGCGCGGACTGCGCAAAGGCATGAGCGTACGGTTCAGCAAGGTGTCCAGCGAGAGCCCCGTCTTGAAGAAGGGCAACCCCCATCTTGTGTAACTCATACGCGCTTGCAT